GTTGCACACATTTTCTTCCTGAAAATAATCTTCCAGCGATGTTACCCTCTTTTGACATTTTTGTCTCTGTAAGTGCCTAATGCTGGACATTTTAGAAATTTCAACCTACTGCTATTGTGTCCCTCACATTTTTCCAGGCCAGGGTTGTGCATTTGTGCCCTGGCAGGTTGATGGCTATGACTGTGAATAATGAGTCAATTATCATTCAACTTCGGGGAAAGCACAATTATTCCTGACCAGTCAGGCTGAGGTAATCCTCTCCTCCCTGTGCCCTTTCAAATGAAGAACATAAAACAGTTGGAATTCAGAGCACTGCAAAGGGAATTTAGACAAAACATTCACCTGCTGAATTTAGCTTCTTTGGATTTATTCTGATTTATGATTGATTGGTTTTTAAATTGCTTATTTAGTCCTAATGACTATTGCTCCAGGGGAGTCCAGATACCAAGGAGCATGTGACCAAGAAGCAGTGGAGTGAAGTAGTTTGACTGGACAAATCAAGAGCAAATATTATTGTCCAGAGAAACATTGCTCTAGGCAAGAAGTATAATATGAAAATCACCCCCTGACTTTCAGAGTACCCAGCCTTGTTATAAGCATGATTGCTTATCCCCTATTCTCTTTGTAGAAGGCTTTTTCGCAGTTGCCCAGTGTTGCACGGAATTCTCCCCTCATGAAATTTTCTTTCCTTCTAGCAGTATATTCAATATCTCATCGTGACTGAGAACGTGCTCTTGATTTATATTGCTATTGACTATAGTGCAGTAGAACAGACTCTTCAAGGTTGCTGGCAGGATTTGGTCATGAATTATCATGCTGGTTGTGCTGATCTGTGAAAACTCTACCACGAATGTGATAATACTTCTCAGCACACAGACACTAGTCTGGCTTTTGTATGGATGAAACTGAATTTTTGAAAACGTTTCTTCCAAAAATTGAATTCTCCAAAAACAATCATTTTTATCTGGAAGATTTATGACCAATATGTAGTGAGTGTCTAATTGATCAAGGCATCAAAAGTTTTAACCTTTTCAAGGAGGGTAACCTTTTTCTCTGGTCTGAAATTAGACACGATAGGTGTAGTGGGGGCCTTGTAAGGGTGATCTGTTGGAAGCTTGACTGGTATCAAAATGAAATTGAAATTCCATTGTGATGGAGTTTGGATGTGTCGTCCCCTCCAAAACTCATGTGGAAATTTGATCTCCAATGTGGCAGTGTTGGAAACTGATTGAGTCATGGGGGCAGATCCCTCATGAATGGATTAATGCTCTCCCTGAGGGAGAGGGGATTAATGAGTGAATTCTCACTTGATTAGTTCCCGCGAGAGCTCGTTGCTTAAAAAAGACCCTGGCACCTTCTCTGTCTCTCTTGCTTCCTCTCGCCATGTGATCTGCTTGTACCTGCCGGTTGCCTGCCATTTTCCCACCATGAGTAGAAGCAGCCTGAGGCCCGTGCCAGATGCAGCTGTCCCAGAATCATAAGCCAATTAAACCTCTTTCCTTTATAAATTACCCAGTCTCAGGTATTTCTGTTATAGCAACACAAAGCGGACTAAAACACATTGCTTTAGAATAATGAAACCTCTAAAAACCTGAAGAAAAAAACTTTTGTCTCATCTGTATTGAAGTTTTGACTCAGAAATGCCCAAGGAAACATTCTTTCAGGTCTCAATAACCTACTTGTTCTCTGAAATTTTGCTGTTAGATTTCTAAACTGTATTATGTCTGACACTTATTTCAAAGCAAGAAATTTTGGGGATGAGATGAAAAGGTGGTAAGGACTCTGACGAAAAACAGAAACAGAAGAAGAGACGAATGCTTGGGTGGCACGTTTGGATTGCCACCAGGATAGCTCTGGGAAGCAGCGTCTGGCTCTCTAACCAGGCTTTTGGCCACTTCGGGTCCTGGGCTGTGCCAACATCTGCCATTCTGACATTATTATACTGAAAAATAACCTTTTTCCTATCTCATTGTGCCAAAAGATTTACTATTTGCTGGTTTAAAAAATTTTTAAAGCCTTTATAAGAAGCACTTCTGGGTCTTTGGAAGGATATAGTATGTATTCTTGTGAAACTAATTTCGAAGTTTGGAAAGGAGCCTTAAACTGTGGGTTTAATCAGAGAGGGATCAAGTTCTTTTCTTCATCTTCTGGCATTTAAAAAAATGAAAACTTTATGTTTACAAAGGGAGGGCATTTTAAGAGTGGACGAGGATTTTTGTTAGATCTGAGACCCCAACAATTGTTCAACATCAGCGTCAGAAGCTGGGACTTCATTGTATTTTGCTTTTTATTTCAAAGGAGCTTTATCTGGTTACCTGTGAAATAACCTGGGTGTTTTATTGAAAATGATAAAGTACATTGAGTGATATTAGAGCAAATAGAACTTGTCCTTGTAGAACATCTGCTATCTTCAGACATCACTGTGCTTTTCAAGAACTGAAGTCAATAGACTATCACAATAATGCTGAGCTGGGTACATAGGATTTTCTTAGTCGATACTAGATTCAGGTTGTGCTTGACTTAAAGGGAAAGCAGGGAGAACTGAAACATTCTGCCTCTTATTAGAACAATGCACTGAGGAATGGTGGTAGCTGCAGGAAGCCTTTTTCCCTTCTAACTTTGATAAAGTTTGAAAAACCCTTTCATTCTCACTTAACTCCTGTTTCCAAGCATCTCTCTGCCTATCTTGCTCTATCTTGCTACCACTACTTATCGTTGCCCTAGGACTGATGTAGGACATCTTTGTGGCTATAAAAGAGGAAGAAGTTGGGGAGAGTGAGTCCTAAGACCATTTCTTCCTCACTTATCTGATCCTTCATAGTGCTGGTTACCCCAGCAGTCTTCTTAGCAACCCTCGAAATACCTTACTCAGTAACCCCTCTCCCCAGTCCCTCCACTCCCAGCAGCCAAGACTGGTATTTCACACCAAAGGTTCTAAGGATTTGTTTAGGCAAAAGGCAGGGACCACTTCTCCCTGTGGTAGCTCTTTAGGAGTTACTGGGGCTGGTGCAGTAGGTAGTAGTAGAGAGCTGGCCTGAGTTTGCGTTTTTTATGGATATGACCTTTTTGAAGAGAAAGTGATGCATTCAGTATTTGTGTTTTTCTTCCCTGACTTATTAATGATGTGTTGTAGACTAGGTCACCTTATCTCTGTTCCCTGATGGTATTTCTGTGTTAATGTCCTGAAGATACCCCCACAAGTCTTAATTCTACCAATGACGGGGTATTTGTAAGCAAACAAGGGATTCCAACTGGACTTGCACCAGGCTGTGATCATTGCTACAACACGAATCTCACTGATTTTGATGTCATGTAACTGACAGCTCAAGAGAAACAAACATGAACACTTTGATGGATTAGGCTATCTCATAACCTCTTCAGTTAAAAACCTGCCTAAAGAGCCCACAGATTAAACAGTCTGTGCCTCTGGAACATTTTTATGGTGGAGTTTCCTAAGGAAATGGAACAAGATTCCCCAACTCAACAACTTCTTTCACTTGACTTTTGAATTCCTTTATCACTCTTCTAGTGATCATTGACATAGATTCTTGTATTTGCCATTGTTATTTACAGCAAGCAATTTCCAGTTTTAGAAAATACTCTGCACCTTAAGTTCTTCTGTGACCTATTGTAAGCTTTTCTTCTTTGTCTCCTTTCTAGGATTTTTTTTCCTTCTTTTTTCTTCTTCTAGTTTCTTTATTTGCTATATTTTTTTCTAAGTAGCAAAGAATAGTGATTAGGAGTATAGGTTCTACAGTCAGAAGGCCTGGGTTCAGGTCTCCACTGTGCTATTTAACAGCTCTATAACCTTGAACAGGTTACTTAATCTCACTGTCGGCCTTGGTTTTCTTATCTATAAAGTGGGGATAGTAACAGTATCTACCTCTAGGGGTGTTGTGAGGCTTAAATGAGATGATTCATGAGAGGCTAATAAGAGTTTCTGATACTCAATGAATGTTAACTCTTAATAATTTTAATTGTTACTACTAATATTAAAAGTAATTTTATGGCTTAAGCCATTACCTCACAATCAGATGTTTACTTAAGGTGTGATATATCTCTCCCACATTTTAGCCTACATTTGCAGCTGCCTTTGGTTCATTTCCACGATGATTTCCACTGGCACCTCAAATGCAACATGGCCAAAGCTAGATTCATTATCTCTTACCAAATTTATTTCTTTTTATTTTTCCCCACAATTCTGTTAATGGCATCATGATATCATAATTTTAATTTAATCTTAATTTAGTCTTAATTTAGGATGAATCTTAGACTCTTTCGTTAGCCTAAGGAGATAATTAAGAATGTGCATGAAATTAGTAGAAAGGTATTTATTGTTTATAATTTTAAATAATTATAATAAGTCAAGAATTACTTAAATAAACTATTTTAGATTTATATAATGGAGTTTTCTATAGTTATTAAAATTACATAGAGGAATACTCAGTACCATGAAAAGAAAATTTGCTGGCAAGCTGAGTTATAATACATTATGTACAGTATGATTCTATTTTGATATTTAGAAGCATGTGGATGCACAAAAAAGATTAAAAAGATAGCTACTGTAAAAATTTTGTTGTGGGGTTTCTGGCAGGTAGGATTATGAGTGGTTGTCACATTTTTCTCTTACAAATTTTCTAAAATTTATACATTGTTTCCATATAAGGAAAAAAAATCCTCAAATTTAGAAAAGCATGGGATAGGTAATATCTGAGAGACTTACAAATACTATATTAATCTTTTAACAATGGCTAAGAACATAGCAGGCACTCAAATATTTGTTGATTGTTGAATAAAATATTGTTATCTTTCTGTGCATTTTTAGAAATAACTTTTTGAAGAGTGGTTAATGCCTCAAGCATTCAGTTTGCCGAGTTCTTTGAAAAGTAGTCTTTTTTTTTTTTTTTTTTTTTTTTTTTTTGTGAAAATTTCTCAATAAACACAAACCAGAATGGTAGTATGGTGGATATTTTCTAATACTATATAACTTATCATTTCAGAGGATAATGTGACCAAAATGGGAGCATTTGGAACCAATTCTTCGGGAAACATATTAACTTCAGCAAAATTTACTCATAAAAATGAATCTAATGACCGTTGTCTTAGAAATAAAACCATCTTTCTTCATACTTCATCACAGTGTTCGGAAAAAGAACAGGTAACACTGTGGCACATTTATAGAAATAGTCTGAGGGAAAAAAGCATTCTTCATGAATTAAATACAGGACAGACTATAAGAAACATTGGACAGTTATTGGATTTGTAACTCCTTATCCTAGGAGGAGTGCCATTGGGGCACTTTGTTGAAAATCACCATTACATTTTGTGATTTCAGCAGCCATTGTTTATGATGGTAACTGGTTTATCTTCAATTTTTGTTAAAAGCCTCTTAAGGATCTGCCATCTATAAACTCTTTTTGAAATTATTTGTATCTTTTAGCTTACCCTCTGTTTGGGACAAAAGAGTTTCTTTTTATAATTCTTTGTGTAAAATGGCACTTTTCTTTTACCTGTCCTAGATTTCTTTCAAACTTGAAGTAGAATCTGTTATCTTGTTTTCTCTAAGGTTTGGTCAGTAAATGTTGGATACTTTCTTCCTAATCTTCAAGATCGTATAGACTCTATTCACATTCTCCTTAGCTATGGTATTTTTTTTTTTCCTTTTTGTCTTTTTTCGTGATCGGTAACGGGATCGCAACCCTCAGTGTTGTGCCTGTACCACGATCGGCAACGGGATCGCAACCCTCGGTGTCACGCCTGCACCGCGTTCAACCAGTGAGTGGACCGGTCTCTATATGGGATCCGAACCCTCAGCGGGAGCGCCGCCGCGCTCCCAAGCGCCGCACTCTACCAAGTGCGCCACTGGGCTGGCCCCTATGGTTTTTAATTATCAAGGAATCAGAGTGGAAGCTATTCTACTTTTAAGTCATTTGAGTTAATTTCTGCCTCATCGTGTCTTCCCTGCAATATTGTTAACAGAATTGTATAAGAGATTGGGGTTTTATAAAAGGGAACAAAAATCTATGTGTTAGAAATGTATTTACAGTAGAGGTCTTTAACTCTTTATTTCCAGAACTTGCTTCCAGTGAACTTTATTCCTAGAGGATTCACTCTTGCTGGCAATTATTGGCCACTGAGACTAGAGGCAAAGAATTGTTGAATGACGTTGCTGTTCAATAACTTGAAAACGTTGTATTAGCATTCTCTGATTTGTCCATCAGAGGTTCATTGGGATGGGATAGGGGGTTGGAAGTGTTCCTATTTTACATATGAGAACACTGGGGTTTAGTAATGTACTCCAGGTTATACTGTGGATGAGTCTAGGGGATAGAAGTAGAAGTCAGACATTCTGAAACTGATTCCCTGAACACTGCTATGGTTTAGTGAATCTGATCTATCATGCATAGCTAATTAAAAACTGGAAGGGATGTTGTATCATCTGAAGTGCTACAAGATCAGATCCTATTTTTGGTTATTTCATTTTCTCATCAATATGTCCTCACTGAATTTTCAGATAGTGGTGGATGAAGGCCAAAAAGTGGGCAGTTCCTTTCAAGGTGATCTGAATCGGGCAGGAAAAGTGAAGGTAAAGCATGATTCAATTTTCCTTCCATGGTGAAAAACACAAAAAGACAAAAAAAATGCACAGGACTTATTTGCTGTCCTTTATACAAAGTTGGAGAATTCAGCAGATTTTGTCCTTACAGATTTTTTTTTTTTTTTTAAGTTGATGTTTGAATATCTTAAACTGTTCTTGCTTGGCTGAGTTCTGGATATTTTTCCCTTAAAGCTTAAGAAATGAAAGGGGTGCTTTGATAGAGAAACGTGACTCCAGTCCCCCTTTGCATAGGCTTTAAGAAAAATAACAATATAACAGATTCTCATTTTAGTACTGAAACAATCACATGGAAGATAAATTTTTGCTGTCACTTTGATGCTAAGTAATAACTGCAGTTATATTCTTATAAGCAATGGAAGCTACCATTTAAAATTCCGATGTTGGGCCAGCCTGGTGGTGCACTGCTACAGTGCGCCGCTTGGGAGCGCGGTGGCGCTCCCGCTGAGGGTTCGGATCCCACATGCAGACCGGTTCCTGCTCACTGGCTGAGCGAGGTGTGGGCGCAACACTGAGGGTTGTGATCTCGTTGCCGGTCCGGTCCGGTATGGGCGCGACACTGAGGGTTGCGATCCATTGCCGGACACGAAAAAAGACAAAAAGGAAAAAAAATAAAATAAAATAAAATAAAATTCCGATGTAGTAGCCATGGTCTGGGAAGTAGAGTTGGGGCGGGAGGAAGACCCAGCCTGTCTTTTGAATTCCAGTTATGAAATATAAATTTGTAATTTTAAGGTATTTTATTATGCATATGTTTAGATCATGAGCATAAAAGGCATTGCAACCTTATGCCTTTACCAGGTCTCATTTGTGCTAGTGGTGAAATCATTTTCTTATTTACACTCTTTAATATTCACCTGAGATGAATTAGTTTGTGTATGAAATGTTACCATTTTGTTCATCTAAAATGTCTCATTGTCAGCTTGCAGTGGAAAGCAATATTCCACGTGGAATAGTTTTTCATTGAAATGCTGCTATTGTGTCTGTAAAGGTTATTTGCTCTGCTTTTTACCTTTGAAGTAATTTTCAGTTTTATTTGCTTGAAGAGAGAACACTTAATTTTTAGCCCTGCTCACCTCTATTGTGATTTACCCGGGGCAGGATGATTTTGTTTGGAACGAACCTTTCTCTCCTGCTTTTAGTTTCTTCTCTCTGGCTCTTCAGAATGCTATAAAAAAGCAGGCTGTTATGATAATAGCCAGACCTATCACCACCATTTGCTTGAGAAGCCAAGGCAATAAAGCAAAAACACAAAAAAGAGAAACACTGTTTTGGATTGTCATGGTGGTGGTATATATTCTGGGATAGGATCTAGAACAAAGTCTCTTTTTGAAAACTCCCAAACCGTTTTTTCTCTTTCAGTATAGAGATCAGACTATGGTGCCTACAGAATCTAGACCAACTTCCAAATTTACAACTCATTTCAGATGTCTCTGAGAAAGCACAGTAAACACAAAGGCCTTTGGGACTCAAGAGTTAATGAGAAAAGTGGATTTAGCTGCTCAGTTGAGTGTTGTGGAAGTGGATTCATTGACTCTTCATTGCATTTTTACTTTGTTTAATATGCATAAAATGATGTTAATCCTTTTCTAGGTAAACAATTTCCTAGATTTAGAAGATTTGGACATGGATGAAGAGATTAAGCCCCAAATGAGCAAGGGTATGCTTTCTGTTTCTATACTGCTTGTCCTCTTTCTAGAAACTACAAATAAGGCTTTAGACAGCCTTTCTTTTTTTGGCAATCCTTATCTCTACCTCCCCTAAGATAGAAAAAAACTAAAGTTGGGAAATTTCTTTTTTAGTAACAAAGATTTCAGCTGAAAGGTCAAAGCCTCTTGAAGATTGTAAAACCTTTGGCCTTAAATGAAATAGAGATGGCTCCTCCCGCCTTAGAATTTACCACATGATTGATTCTTGGATAATTGTCTCAAGTAGAACTCTTGTAAAGTTGACCCCTTATTTCCTAGAAGCACAATCTTGTAAATTAAGATTATTTTTGAGGGATTCATAAAATATCAATTGATTGTAAAAATTATAAAAGTATCGGAATTGATTGCAAAAATGAAAAGAAAATCCAAATGTTTACTTTTAAAAATATTTATTAAATATGTAAATCAAACACTTAATATATATTGTAAATGTTTCTCCTGGGGCATTTTTCCATGTGGTCTGAACTGAAAAAGGCTTAATGCTAGTCCATTGATGTTTACGTAGATGATGACTTTTACCTTTCTTGGTTAACATTTCTGTGTAAGCCTAGGTATCCTTTGTTGTTCAAAGGACTTTTGAAATACGTTCAAAAGTAGGGTTATTTGTTTTGAGAACACTCATTCCTGATTTAATATGCAAGAATATCTCAAAGTCATTGTTAAATTTTAGGGAACAGAGGGCCGGCCCCGTGGCTCACTTGGGAGAGTGCAGCGCTGGTAGCGCTGAGGCTGCAGGTCGGGATCCTATATAGGGATGGCCGGTGAGCTCACTGGCTGAGCGTGGTGCAGACCACACTGTGCTGAGGGTTGTGATCCCCGTACCGGTCAAATAAAAAAGAAAAAAATCAGTTTGTGATATTGTGTGGGTTGATTATAGGTTGAGGGTTGTGATCCCTGTACCGGTCAAATAAAAAAGAAAAAAATCAGTTTGTGATATTGTGTGGGTTGATTATAGGTTTGTGAGGATGAATTTGAAAAAAAAAAAAAAATTAGGGAATGGACAGTTTCCCTGGAGGTTTTGTTGTTGATATTTAACAGTTGTTTACAGTCTTTTGGTAGTCATAAACATAAATTATGGTCGTTAGTGTTGGGGGAGGATGGCTTATTTATAATCAGGCAGGAGTTAAAGTGACTGGGTGTAGTTGGTTAGGGGATGGTGACTATCTGTAAATTTAGTTGTATAATCCTCTGCTCTAGCTTTTTTGACTGCTTGAATTTGAGAGGCTTTGGTAATAGGAAGCGATTAACATTTTTATTCTGCTTTCAAAAATCACACTACTCCATTAGAGAGATTGTTTCTCAAGCACTCTATCAACCAGTAGACTTTGTAGATTTTTTAGTTACTTGTTTGGTTTAGTTGAGATTAGAGAGCTAAAGGAATCACATCCAGGGAGAGATTCTCTAACTTTAATACCCTGGGTGGCTCTGAATATAATAAGAGCAGCTTTGGGTTCCAGTTGGATTCAAAGGAAGAGCTAAGGACTTGTCAGGAAGCTGTGTTTGTAGAGCAAGCACACTGTTTTGGGTTTTGGGTGATTTAGGGAAGGAAACTTGTTAAAATGCAGATTCCTGGGTCCTGTTCCCAAGAGAGAGTCTAATTTAGAATGTTTTTGGTGTCTAGTGATCTGCATTTTTAACCAATACCTCAGGTAATTCTGATATAGGTAGTGTGAGGATGACACAGGAGACATGGTTCTAGTCTGCAGGTAATATATTTGCAATATAAAATCAATTTTATAGGAGGGCACAGAAGTGTGTGTATTGAACATTTTTGTGATGGTTTAAATTTCTCACTTCCTGTCAGTAATGAGAAGGTCTGTATACTGACATAAACCAACATAGCTAACAAATCTGATTTTTGTTATGTCATTTAAATTAGCCTTTTAATCTTTTCCATCATTTTGTTTTCTTTAAACATTTTTTCAAGTTATGTTTTTTAATTACCAGATTTATTTCTTTATTTTAAAAAACTGGATAAAAATATCTCACTGGCATGATTTTTCTGGAAATCAGATAACAGGCAGTCTTGCGTTTGTGTATAAAAGGTTACTGAGGCTGAACCAAGTCTCAGTGGACTTGAATGAAGTAGTCAAGACCTTTCCACATGTAAAATAATGTGCAAAGCCTAGGCTGAAAATCGACCCAGGCTACAGCGATCTATTCTAATTACTGAGAAGACCACCAGGGCTTCACAATTTTCATAATGCACAATCTGGGTCACTTGAAAGGAGAAAAGAAGTTAAATAGTTTGTGCCAAGGTGAATTTAAGTCTGGGCCTAATTTGTATTACACTTCAGGAATGTGAGCAGAAGGCAAATATTTATATCAGATGGGAAATGTGACATTTTAAATAGCAAGTTGCTTGTATGATTTTGGCAGCTGGGAGGTTTAGTGATTAGATTCTGTTGCTGTTGTTTAAGCAACAGATTTGTCTGGGGGCGATGATGAAGTGGGTTGCATAGCATATTGTTTTTCTACCACTGACTTTATTTGTCCACCTTATTCACTCTCATAAATATTCTCCAAGATTCAGGAGCATGATTCTTCTCCAGTATTTGGTTTATCATTTGGGCAGCCCAGGTAGAGAGAGTGGTGAGGTTTTTTTTCAGTGGAGCAAACTGTGCAGCAGTATTAAGAAAGTTATCTGAGGGTAACATTTGCCACAAAGTTTGGTGCCCTGTGTTTATTTGACATCAAGTTAGCTACTTTCTTTTACTTTGAATTTGAGATAAGGTAGTTAACCTGGTGACTCATGCCTCAGACCAGCTGGCTCAAACTGTCATCCAGCAACATTATTATCTGGAGTAGCTATTACTTAATATATGGAAGCCATCAGAGTAGGAAGAATCTTCTGTTCATCTTTATATTTTTGTCTCCTCAGTTAGCCCTACCTCTTCTCTGGCTGAGTGCAGTAGGCTGAAGAGACATTTTTTAAGGCCCAGTTCCCAGAATTATACTGTCTTACATAAGTCTCTTGGCCAACAGGTGTACTTATGCTGTGGTTGATTGTCTTGAATGAGAATGGGCACGGATTCCTTCTCAAAAATTGGCAGCCTTGTTTGGTTTTTATTTTCAAGTTCTCCAGTACTTCTAATCATTTTTAGTCAATTAATTGGCGAGTGCATACAAATAAGGGCATCAATCACCTTTTTTTTTTTTAATACTTATCTGCAACTTTAAGCAGTGTTAGGCAGTCTATGAATGACTAAGGACACTTATTCAACAAATATTTAACCACTATGGATGGTGCCTGGAGTATAATAAAGAATAAAGCATACTGGGTTCCTGCCTTCATACAATTCATTATTTATCAGAAGAATCAGACACTAACCACATAAATATATCATTGTAAGTTGTTTTAGATCTCATGAGAGCATATGGCAGGGGAACTTAAATTTGTCTGTGGGATCACAGAAAGCTCTCTGAGAACCCGAGATCCAAAGAATGAGTAATCATTAACTAGATGAAAGGGTGGGCTGAGGGTGAGGGGCAGATAGAAGAGTATAGAGACAGCATATGTAAAGGTCCAGAATGGCATATGTAAAGGTCCAGAGCTAGGAGAAAATAGCACATTAGTAGGGAAAATACAGGAAAATGGTCAGGAGTCCCACAGATGTTTAGATTCTTGTTGAGCATTTGATGTAAATATGCACGTGCACCCAGGTGTTCCTTGGCTATTGTCTGATGTACATGCGCATGGGCACCAACGTGTTCCTGGGTTGTCTGACTTGCACCCAGGTGTCCTGGGTTGTCAGACTTAAGTATAAAGGATGAACTGCTCTGATGCATGGGGGCCCCTGGCCCCTGGAATGCCCCGGGCAGGGGACCATGGGGAGGCCGCTTCTGCTGCTGGAGGCTGTTGCTGCCACTGCCAAAGCCCCTGGGATGTTCTGGGAGGCTGCCGCCACCGCCGCCGCCGACTATTGCTGTAAACTGCTGCTGCTGTTGCTGTTGCTGAGGAAACTGAGGACGGAGCTTGTGTCATCTGCCAACGGCTCCCAGAATCTTTCCCAATTACCTAGCGTGGACTTGCGTGTGAGGAGTCTGGTGACCCAGCGGGCGTGTGAGGGATCTGTGACCCAGTCTGTACAATGGGTTTGAAGGGTCTGAGAGCCCAAGCCCTGGCAAGACAGTTGGCTACGTCAGCTGGATTCAGACAATTGCCTTTAGTTGCCTAATCAGGCAATTAGCATAACCATACAAAATTTCAGCCAACTTACAGTTTAGACGTTTCATTTATTTTACACTTTGGACTGTTACAAATCATTCTTTCATTGCTTCAATGATCACTAAAAACATTGAGGGGGGAAAAAAATCCTTGCTTCAAAATGTTCCTCTATTCCCACTCTTCCAATTTTTATATATGGTAATTTACCCATTTACTAATGTTCAACTGGAAAGCCATGTTAACTAGAGAGGCAAAGCTACTATCCCATGCTCATGTCCTCATGATTGCAGGAGATTTCCATTCCATTCTTTTTTTTTTTAAGGGCACAATCAATAATTATAACTTATTTTAAATCAATCACTCAGATTAAACACACATTTTCATGATATATTTTAGCCACAAGAATTAATCTCTTTCTCTCTTTATCCCTCTCCCTTCCTTTCTCTCTCCTCATTTCATTTTTTTAATTGGTTATGAAAATTCATGGAGTACAAAGCTGACTGTCACCACTCGAGCCCAAGATCCATTCCATTCTTGAGAAGGGAATGGAATTGGGAAGATAATTCTGCCCTTTCACAATTTACACCTATTTCTCCCCAAGGGTAAGGACAGGTTTTGTCTAATTGGAGAATCTGGGAAAAGAAACTATGTATATATGGGTCAGTCCCTTTGTTTTTGCTTTTAGGTTCATGCCATTTGCAAGTTGTATGTCTTCTCTTCTGGGCCTGCACTTCCTTTCTCAGAGTACACACACTTTAGATAGGGCCCAGCCCTGCCTTAATA